AGAGCACCTAACCTATATCTATCTCTGAACCAATTTCAACAAAACTTAAACCAGTGAGCAGTGCAGTATAGTCGGACGGGGCCGACCATACGATACCCTACACAACTACCATGGAACTCTAAAGTTTTGCGGATTTTTATTCCGAGCCTGGGCAATATTTCGTGACAGTTTTACCCTGTTGCCCGATTAGAAATAAACAGCACTTCTTCCTTACACTGACATATATTCCAAATATTACTAATATTCAGTACAGCCCTTCTAATTACTTGTCACGGTGGCTTGTGTTGTGATGTTCTACATCTACATCATAATTATAAATCTAAAGTGGTTGGGAAAGTGCAACCTTAACACGTAATATATTTTCTGTCCGATCTCTATAGCCATCAACCATATTCCAAACTTACCTTCTTATATTCTTGTATGCCTTTCATCTCTCTTTATTTCCCCAATCTTCTCTCCCCTATAAATCTCTTCTTATCTCTTTTCTTCTCGTGGATGATCACAATGGACCTGACGGTCTCAGAGCACCTAACCTATATCTATCTCTGAACCAATTTCAACAAAACTTAAACCAGTGAGCAGTGCAGTATAGTCGGACGGACCGACCATACGATACCCTACACAACTACCATGGAACTCTAAAGTTTTGCGGATTTTTATTCCGAGCCTGGGCAATATTTCGTGACAGTTTTACCCTGTTGCCCGATTAGAAATAAACAGCACTTCTTCCTTACACTGACATATATTCCAAATATTACTAATATTCAGTACAGCCCTTCTAATTACTTGTCACGGTGGCTTGTGTTGTGATGTTCGACTTTCAATTGTGGTCTATAGATCGACTCGGAAAAACACAAAAAATAAGTTTTTGGTCCAATTCATCCCAAAATTATTATCTGATCATCACCGAAAATTATAGCCGTTGTTCTTGACCATACCTGGATCCTCATGGTGGCCCTCTAGTGTGGTAATGTGTTACTAACTAATATATGAATACGTAAGAACCTGTAAATATGTAAGAGTATCTCCCACATCCGAGTACATACGACAATATAATTGGTATCAATTTAAAGGTCATCCACTCCTCTTGGATATAATTTAAACTTCTCCGGTCTCTGTCCTTCAGAAGTAAACATATGCGCTCTAAAATACAAATTTTGTAATTTTTCACACAAAAGTAAGGGTCTATTTGACCCGCTAAATATGGACCGATCTTTATCAAAACAGCCTTGCTTATTATTTGGCCCGATATCCTTCTACATGTAAAAGTTCGCGATGTTTGGGTCATAATTGCGGCATCTGGAGCGACCAGAAAATCAGACAAAAATAAAGTTTTTGGTCCATTTCATCCCCTAAATATTAACCGATCTTTACCAAAAACAATAGGGGTCTTCATTGGCCAGAACCCACCCTACATACAAAATTTCGTGAAGATTGGTCCATAACTGTGGCCTGTATCGTGTTTACAAATTATAATGGACAGACGGACGGACGGACACACATGTCTAGATCGACTCAGCTAGTCGAGATATGACGATTGGTATACTTAAAGTTGGGTCTAGGACCAGTATTTCGCGGCGTTACAAACTCTTGGGGCTGCACAAAGCTATAATACCCTGACAACATAGTTGTGTAGGGTATAAAAACTTCATTCTAGACTCGATTTAATATGCTAAACATTATATCGTCCAAATTGAACAGGATATACGTACCATTAACATAAAATCGGACTAAGGTATATATGGGAGCTATATTTAAATATGGACAGACGGACATGCATAAATCAACTCAGAAAGTGATTCTATGCAAATTTTCAAAACATCAGTGTATATGTTACAAACATATACACCGATACCCTGTACAACAGTGTGGTGAAGGGTATAAATACCTGAAAAGTATCCCTTCTCAGATGTCAGGATGAAGCTCCTAATTTAAAATGTCCGAACTTAAGCAGAAGCCGCACAGAATAAATTAAACGTAGGCAAATCGCACAAGCCAACCCTAGAAGTTGGGACAAGGTCCTCAAGTCGCTCACCGGTAACTCTTGGAGTGCTCAAACATAAAACATGGGTGTCTCCTTATGACACCAGTGGCTAATTTGCATGAGGATATGAACGACTTACCCGTACTTACATACTGCTGTCGGCTATGTTGAGTACCAGGACACGGTGACATCACGGGTAACGAAAAAGCAGACGAATTAGCTAGACGAGGATCTCAAGAACGAACGAACTTTGATTCGTTCTTCGAAGAACGAGTCAAGATCTACCTGGCCTACTCTGTCAACCAAGAGAACAAACTCACTGTTGAAACTGAGTAAAGCTGAAATTAGAGTAATGACTGGAGTCATTACTGGTCATTGCAATATCAGGGCCTTTACCAGTAAGTGGGACCATGATGTTACTGATTACTGCATACTCTGTGTTGACGAGGAGGGGTCGGAGACAATTGAGCATCTCCTCTAGTAAAATCTAGTAATGCGTACGACTTTAACCCTAAAATGAATTTTTTTTAAGATTTTTGGCGTATAGGCTGATTTTTGAGTTTTATTTTATTCTGAGACTTATAATAAAATATTATGGCAAACATTTCTGTAGAATATTCTGAGCAGCTTTAACCCCGTTTTGAAGGAATTTTCAATCATTTCTGCAAAGGGGGCCCGAAAATACACTTTCAATTAGTCAGCTGAGGGTTTAAGTTGTATACCAAAATATTCCTCGATATTTTATCAGTAATATTTCCTAAAATGCAAGGATTTCAAGAAACCATAATTCGATAATTATCAAAACTCTTGAATAGAGGAAATATTGCCCCACCTTTTTAAGTTACTTCCCAAGGTACACTTTCAAAACGTCGATACACGTGTCATCTTTTTTAGCCCCTCATTCATAATCTTTTGGAATTTCCCGGTAATTATTTTTTGTGTTGCACGGTGTTATTATCAATATTAAACACTTATAGCCTAGACAGACGACAGCCTTAATTTGCATTAACAGCCTTAATTCAAATTAACTTGTACATTAAGGGTCCCATACACTATACCCAGTAGAAAGTGTCTTGCAGACAACATTAACGAATCGTGCAAGACAATGGCAATTCCTTGAAGACACTTTGCAGACAACAATGTGAGATCCTTGACGAAATTTTCACACAAGTGTCGCAGTATTCATGCAAGACAACTTGGGCGACAAGGTAAGCGAAGTTGTCGTTGACGACAACAACGGCGACAAAACTCCCTACTTTTCGTTGACTTTCAAAAAATAACACATACTATGATAAATGCTGTACGGCATGATGTACCCAGTAGAAAATACTCTCTTGCGTGACAATTTCATTGACGAAATGTTGACGAAATTTATGGAATTGTCATTCATGACTAAACACATGATATGTCGTCGAAAATGTCGTTCTTCTCGAAATATGAAAACAAAACAAAAATAGTCTGAATTGAGTGTACTATGAAATATTGACAGAAACGAAAAGAAAAATGTTTCTGCAAAAATATATGTATAAGAAATTTAGGTTAAATTTAAATATATAAGAATTAAGAATCTCGGTTAAAATAGGTAAGCTTAACTGAATATATAATTATTTGTATCATTTCTTAAATGCTTTCTTTTACACTTAGGATGGGGCAAATAAATGACAATTGCTGAAATATTGTAAGTAATATCTGAAAGATGTTTCATATTTTAAAGCGTTTTAATGTTGTTGTTTCTTTACAGATGATGTTAAAATGGAGAAAATCATATCGACAATTTATCATGCAATGTGTTTATTTATATTATTATAAACGTAAATGCAATGTATAATTCTTGTTATATAATAAATTACGTATATGTACATATATGTATATGTATATTTTTATTTGAATTTTTAATAGGGTATGATTGATGACAATGGGTATTCAGTCGTCAACGACTGTGTAAACGACATAGTCGATGATAGTCGTCAACGAAAAGTAGGGAGTTTTGTCGCCGTTGTTGTCGTCAACGACAACTTCGCTTACCTTGTCGCCCAAGTTGTCTTGCATGAATACTGCGACACTTGTGTGAAAATTTCGTCAAGGATCTCACATTGTTGTCTGCAAAGTGTCTTCAAGGAATTGCCATTGTCTTGCACGATTCGTTAATGTTGTCTGCAAGACACTTTCTACTGGGAATAGTTTTGATTTTGAAAATGAAACCCTATCAATCTGGTGAATAATATTCATTTTGAAAGTTGTCAGTAAATAATTTTGTGTACAAAAATAATAGAATTGTGTCGGAATAAAAAATAACTGAATTTACGACTCAAAATGCAATTTTTGGGACAAAAATCGATTTTTTGGAATAGTGATTGAAGAGTTTGCCATACACTAGTCAATCTCACATATACACAAAGGGGTTCATCGGCATGACGGCATGATTTATAGTGTATGGGGCCCTTTATCCTCATTTTTATGTGTTGTTAATGCACAAAATCAAACTGAATTTATACTGAGTTAAGCAATTTCAATATGACAGTGCTGTAGAAAATAAATTGATTTTTGTCAAATTTGTTTATGTTTACGAAAATAAAAATTAGAAATAAAGGGAAAATTCAAAATTTTTCAAATTTGGAGCTGTTTTATCTTCATTATAGCTGTTAGTTTTCCTTCCTGCTATGTATCAATTTCAAAAAGATGTAATCCTAAAAAATATTGTAAACAAATGTCAATATTTTCTTCCTACACACAGACAAACAATTGTTTTGAAACAAAAAACTGGTTCATAAATGAAGAAACTCTCGTCTGTCAGGGGTAAATTTTAATTCAAATTAAGAACTTTTTAATGCAAATTAAGGCTGTCGTCTGTCTATGGTATTAGACAGGAATTTAATATTCTTAGCATTTATTCAGTAAAAATATATATATACATACATATAAACTAAATAACACATTGTACACTGGGTAAACAAACAAGTATTGCACTCGCACCGCATAACTTATGTGCTTAAAACTAAAAAGAAAAAAGTACACATTATAGCTTAGATTCACTACACTCATCTAAGAGTGATTTCATTTTGCGGAATGTATTCATAAAATGTTGACTAAAACGATGGGCACTGGTTTTTTCGCTATTACGGAAGGCAGTGGATTGTATAAAAATGCTGGAAAATAAATTAAATAATAATTAAAAAATATCTAATAAACTGACATAATTCATCTCAACATACCGTTCCGATGTAATGGTATAAAATACACCATAACCATCCAATACCATGGGTGCGACAAAACCAACATTAACCGAATATCCCAATGTACTGGTGGATAATACAAAATTACCACCACCTCCGGATTTCGTGTACAGTGGTTCCGAATAGAACTCGGGTATATCCATATTATTTTCATATGCTATACACCATAGACCAAAGAGATGACGATCAACACCATGACCCTTGCGTGCTTCATTCATCATGTGATTATGATGATTGACAGCTTTGCGGAATGCATTAACTATTTCGGATTTGGTTGATTTACTGTCACTGGCTATTTGTAGAAATTTATAAACTTCGCTTGTGCAGGAGCGTAATGTTTCTGTGCGACCATTATAATAGTGACGCATTAAGGCTGTTTCATAAACGGAAGCAATTCTGAAATGTACAAGATTTTTGTTTATAGGTGCAAGTTTTGATACGTTATTAACAATTTTTACTCGTTATGCATTTCGTAGTAGGCCAATTGCATTATTACTTGTACAAAGGAATCTGGATGTAATTTACAAGATTTAATGTACTCCTTGCCATAATCATAGAATACTTCATGTGTTACCAAAACATCGGTGCGCTAAAAAAATATAGGAAGGAGTATTAAATAATAATTATTATTAGTTAAGTAATAATTATTTTAATGAAAAAAACAATTCAATTTTGAATAAAATTTGTTACAGGATTTGTTATTGGGATTATTACTTTTAATTTAACCTTTCTAAAATTATTACACAACACTACCACCCGCGGCAAGCTTAAAATTGTACACCACTTCATAAAAAATCATAGATCTGTACTTACTCTATCATCACAGTCTTTTTTAACACGTTCAATTTCCGATTTGATAGTTTCATCCAAATCAAATTTCAATTCTTTTATTGGTATAAGAGGCATTTTTTCTCCTTCCGACCAATCAGGTTCAGGTAGTTCAAATAAACTCAATTGAACAAATAATACATAACTAACGCTCACGGTACCATCGTAGCAGGAATGCTGGAAACAATAATATTATTATTAAAAATTATTTTTTGTGTATAAAAAATCTGCCACCCACCTCTCCAACACAGGAAAATTTGCCATTTTTATACGAAATTAAAGTACTGCTACGATCACCCCACTTTGAGTGAAAATCACCAGTGGTGGCAACTTGTGAAATTTCTGCATAATCTTTAGGTTCATTTTCATCGAATACAACCACAACATTGGAACTTTCAATCCATTTCAACGTATCCTTATTGTCTGGAGAGAGTTCCAAGAGACGTGTACGATTCTGCAATTGATAAAATAAAAATTTAATTTTTTTTTTTAGAATATATTTTTAAAATTTATTCCTTCACTATAATTTAAGATAATGTACATCACACATACACCAAAGGTAGGTTAGTGAGTACTAGTGGATTCATTGAGGAGAATATGTAAAAGTCTAAATTTATTTTTATTGGACAGTATCAATAATTTAAGGGTGACGAAGGGGATGATAGATATAAAGGAACGGATCTGATTGCCTTTAACATGGCAAAGCCCAGGCTTATCATCTCAACTGAATTCTGGATACTGACCTCCCCGCGGTGTCACCTAGGATAGCTACTTTCACCATCTGTTGGTGAGTCTATTTTAGATTTATTCTATACGTATATGTCATTGGAGGTCATTGACATAACCCTCTCAAATCTAGATGAATCCCTCATTAGCAATTGGAGAGTATCTGATGAATCTCTTTTTGGATCATTTGAAGATCTTCTTCGAGGTCTGTTTTGGCGGATGTTTATATAAGCCTTAGGCATAAAGAGTCGATTCTAATAACTGGAGCCGCGAGAAGCACCCCTCAAGCAGCTCTGAACGCAATACTGAACTTAAGGCCTCTGGGTCTCAGCATTAAGTGTTAGGCAGCGCGTAGTGCCCAAAGGCTGCACGAACAAAATCTATGGCGAAATTGTAGCTACGGGCATGGATGTATCCTGAACGAATTAGGTATTACATTGGAACAACGCGTAAAACTTAGCGTCTATAAATCACCAGTCCTGAGATTTGACGATATAAAAGTCGTTATCCTTAGGATAGACGACTGGAAACGTAGCAACCCTCCTCTGGACGGCCTGGTTTTCTATACAGACGGATTCAAGATGGAAGAAGGTACGGGCAGGCGTCTACTGTGAAAGATTAGGCCTTGAGCTTACCTACAAGCTGGATAGCAACTTTAGTGTTTTCCAAGCTTAAATCTTCGCGATCTGGAAGGCAGCGAAATAGATACAAAGTCTGGATGCAGAGATACCCCTAAAAGCCATAAAATCCAGCAACATCAAATCTGAGCTCGTCCTCGAGTATAGAGGAGTTTTGGAAACGCTTTCTTGCAGCTATCGGCTATGTTGGGTACCAGGAAACTGTGACATCACAGGTAATGAAAAAGCATAGCTAGACGCGGATCCCAGATCAGATCTAGCAATCGAGGGCTCAATCTAGCAATCGAGGGCTCAATCAAACCACCCATTGGAGCTTTGATGCGTGCGACGATCGAGCCAATGAAGTCTGGCGCAACGAACTTAGGTGCAATGTGTCAAGATCTATCTGTCCGACTCTGTCAACCAAGAGAACAAACTCACTGTTGAACCTTTGTAAAGCTGGAATCAGAATAATGACAGGATATTGCCTTACAGGAAATGCGATGGAGATGTACAGGCGGAAGTAAATCAATTGATTACGCACTGTATTACAGCTGCCATTAAACTAGACATGAATTTTGATTATGGTTAACAGGAGAATAAAAGACCTCGTCTCCAGATTCACTCCAGTATATGAGCGAATTGATATAATTCGTATAAAAGCGAAGTTCTTCAACATCAGTTTCATTTGCGCCCATCCTCCGACCGAAGATAAAGATGAACAGACCAAAGACATATTTTACTAGCGCCTAAAAACAGCATATGCCGCTGCCCTGGCCATGACATTTACATGGTCTTTCAAATCGGAAAAACTGTGCACAAGATCGACACGCTTGGAAATCTTTTAAGAGGTTCGGCTTATGGGAAAAGCGTTCTGTCTCGAGCTATCTAAGTAAGTAAAAGACTTCTCCCTACGCAAACCCGTTCGATGCTGGCACAATTAAAATTCTGGTAGAACATTGTTCTCCATTCATATTGAGGGTATTCTTAAATTGTTGATTTATTAATATATGACATACCTTGGCCCAAGATGTACGATCGTCATGTGTAAGTACTGGAACACAATCACCCATTGGTTCATAGTCAATAATACTGCGTACTCTCTGAAGTAAAATTAAAATCTCCTGGGGTGTAATTAACGAACCATCTTCGTGTAAACAATCGAACTTAAACAAACGACCTTTGCCCGAAATTAATGCATGTGATGGAGTTTTACCCTCGGTTACTAAAAATAACAAAAATATATTTCATTAATTTTGTTTATAATGTGCGGTATTTCATTAAATAACCTTACCAGTTTTAAAATGTTTTTCAATGTGATCCATTTCTTCACCCGGCACTCTTGTCGTCGAGAAAAATCTCTTATAGAGGGCAGATGAATATTTAATTTTACCACCATTCGATGACAGTGGTTTAATTGTGGCCTTGTGTAATAAATCCCAAAATTCAATAGTGTGATATGTAATACGTGCTAAATTCTTTAAAGCATATTCTGGTGTTTCGGGTATATTTATAACTTCCAATTGAATAGCCATGGCCATAACAATGTAGGGATTTAATGGTAATCTCAGCATATGATATGCATAATCATCCCACCACTGATCTAACCAATTTTTCAATTTCGATGCGCGTTCTTTCAGTTTGGCGTGTAATTTGGCACCAATGCCATTTTCAAATTCTTTAATGGCCTTTCGGGCATTTGCTAATTCTTCGGCGCTACCAAATGGTTTCAGGCTCTCAAAATATCTTTCCATTGTGTCGTGTAAGTCGGGCAATGGTAAAGGTGGTAAGTCTTCATCATAGTCATAGGTATTGCGTTGTGTTTCATCCATAAAATAAATTGATGCTCGATCCATGGCTAATTAAATTTCTTTGTAGAACTGTAAGAAACAAAAAGGAAATGTGTGTTATTTCTAAGAGCGTTTTAAATATGGACTTACTTAATATTAATGCCTAACCTATTCCAATGTAAATAAATAGTGCCGTTTTTTATTGTAACTGAAAACAAAAAATTTAAAATAAATTATAATTTTAATTGCATTGCGTATCTCCATATTGTCGTCTTATTTCCACAGTTCAATGCCTTAGATATAATGTAATTTGTAAACACAATATATGTAGGCATAATTTTAATTTATAACACATGCCGTCTTATCCACTCTGGTTATCTACATACATATGAACCTATAAACACCCATTAAAATTTTCTTTTTTATTGGACAATTGTTTTTGTTTTATTAAACACACACCCTGCACAAAATATACAAATACTTATGCCTTCCTTCCATTGTACTAATTAAAGTCCATACATAATAAAGTAGTTTGCTGGACATCAAGAGATCAATTCTATTCAAAGTCCAATTTGTAATGGCAAATTAATCTATCAATAAAAAGATTTGTGTAGAACATATACTGGGGTTCCAAATTATCTTATCTTAGGTAATGTTCGTAAAAAAGTTATTGTTGTACGAATTAGATTTGTGATTTGAGTGATAAGACTTGTTTTTTGCACGTTCAGAAACACCTGTACCGAACACTTAAAAGCAATAGGGCTGCTACAACAACTAAACAAAAAGGTAGAGAGATTTTGTGAGGGGCTGGTTACCAATTTGTAGTAACTCATACCACATATCATAGTGTGTTACCATAGTACTTTTAATAACACTTCGATTAGGGCGGTGTCCCCTTAAAACATTGCATACACCCTCTATATATTTTATGTTCCGATTGTAACATATAGCAATAATCATATTCGTCCCTATAAATTATGGATCAGGAATCACACTAACTTCCAAAGGAATTGAACCCGTCTTTTTTTTTAAAGCATATAAAGCTCGAAGGTTCGGTCCAGTTTAGGTATGGTAATCATTCTTTTAGATTTACATAGTTTTGAAAATATTGATCTCGTTTTTAGCTGACTTTGGGTTCTGATGATTGTAGTTCCTACAAAATGGCATACCCAATTGTGGTATATGAGTTGTAGATTTCTAATTCCCTACAGTAAACGCCTGCACCAGTGCCTTCCTCCATCTTTGACCCGTCTGTGAAAAATGACAGACCTGGCAGGGGTAAGGAGCCACTAGTCCAGGATTCCCTACAAGGAAACTCATTTTCTGTATAATTGTGTGATTATGAACACTGGTAATTAGCTGTTTTATCGGGGTACTGTATTTGTTTTGTTTTTCCAAATTTGAAAACCAGACACATGTTATTGCAATAAAATCCATTTAAAAATGATCTATAAGAACCGAAATACGTGTAGAAACTAAAATATAGTTATTGTAACGGTAAAAATAAATAAAATTGTATAGCTCATATGTTTGTACTGTAGAGTTCCTTAGTTTTGCCCATTATTATACCCTTTACCACACTGTGGTGCAGGGTATTATGTCTTTCTGCATCACATCTGAGTCGATTTGTGCATGTCCGTCCGTCCACGTATTATTGTGAACAAAGTACAGGTCACATTTATGATCCGATTTGAATGAAATTTGGCACATGACCCTTATTTGGCCCAAGGATGAACCTTACTGAATTTGGAGAAAATCGGTTCAGATTTAGATATAGCTCACATATATAGTATCGTCTGATTTTAAGTTAATGGTGCACCAAACTCCCAATATTGGTCCGATTGAGACAAAATTTTGTACAGAGTTCTGAATTAGGTCCTGATTGATGTATGCGAGATTGATGTTGCTGGAATCGGTTCAGCAGCATACCAAATGGTCCAGATTTACATACGTTTTTTGTCTCGATTTCATACAAATGGTAAACCAAAGAATTTTTTATACATTTCAGAATGATATGTGTATGGGTTTGTTAGTTGCTTCATATATCTATGTAGATCACACATTTACATTCGCCCGATTTCATTTCAATAGTCCTCTAAAGATTATATGTCTGTTCTATCTACAGCATATTGTACGATAATATGTATTTCATAATCAATTTTGCTTAATGCTTTTGGTTTTTTAAAAGTGTTATCTTTATTTTTGAAAAAAGTTATACTGTATTTATTAGCCATTCAATTTTAGTAGTTTTAGTTTTGGCCACCAGTGTATCTGTCCATGTTTTTATATAGCCCTTTGTACCACTTAATATTCTGAATTTTTGCACATTTGTTAACCAAATGGTTAAAAAACCGAAAATGATCAATATTGGTCCATTTTTTTTAAGAAAATTCCATATAACGGTACCGCCATAAATTCGGTATTTTGGAGAGTTTATCGAGTTTGTTACCCGAATTAGCTGTAAATTGGTACTGTAATTTGAATGTACGTTAGGTATTTTATTAATTTTTGTTAATTTTATAGAATCCGTTTATTTATAAACAAATAAATGAACTTTTTTTGTGGTTTTTACTAATTTATGTTTGTATTTAAGGTATAAATTCAATTAAAGTATAAACTCATGCCTTGATAAATTTAAATGCTGCTTTACCAAACGTTGGACTTTGGAATCTTTGCTTTAATGTGGACAAACTAAACATTTTTGTCTATGAATAAAAGACAGTATATTAAAGAAAAAAATAACACTGCACAGATAAAATTCGTATAAATTAAAAATAAAACTAGTAATACATATGTAAATTATGAAATCTTTCGAAATCAATATAAACTTTGAAAACATAAAAACAATTGATATATTTTTGATGATAAAAACAATTTGATATTTTACTGTTAATTAAAAACAAACAATTCTTCTAGAATATACACACATACTATATACATATAAGTTCAACAATACTTGCTTTATGATTATTAACAAAAGAAAATTACTTTGCTTGTGGTAAGTTAAAAAAAAAGAAACGTCTCTTGTCCAACCAGACTACCGATCTTCACAAATATACAGACGGGACTGATTTCAAACAGTAGGGCTAAAGTCTATACATACATTCGGAGACTTCGGCTGGCTGGCTGACTGATAAAAGAATGAATCAAAATAAGCGAAAGTGCTCAACGCAGGTAGACATACAAAACAACAACAAGTGGTATTTATTATGTCTGGCTAAGTGGTCGAACAACGTCACAACATCAAATATGGATCAAATTCTATGGGGGCCAAACAAAAGAATACTGATAAGAAAGCGATAACATTGCAAAATTCGGCATCAAAATTTAAAACCTAATTTGCGAGCACAATTTGACCCAATAACTTGAGAATCTTGTTAGAGTACCACACGCCGCAATTGATAAGATATGTCACATCGAGTTCAATTTGGACTTTGACCTATCAATTGGACTGTGCTTTTGTTTACCATTTTCAATGTTGTTATTGTAAAAAATAAATTGAAGATTAAAGCATGTATTTCTTTTTGTTTTTATTTTTTCACGCACACTCACACCTCCACCACCAATGAAGAAAGTTCAATAAAATTAACTATAATAAATAATTTTATTATTTTTTTTTTATTTTATTAATTTAAATAATAGTTTACCTTTAACTTAATTATTAATAAACTAGTAGTGTCTCATATTGTTCATTTGATGAAAACCCGTTTGGATATCAGCTGTTTTTTGTTTACCTATGTACATATGTATCTTCATTGCAGCAGTGTTGCTTTTGTTTAGTAAAATTTGTTTTGGCGTTTTTAGAGCGATATTCTTTTTGGCGATTTCTAATTATACGTTTAGCCAAAATAAATATTTAGGCGATATAACAAATGAAAATATGTATGTTCGCTTAATTTTCCAGTTATATTTACACATTAAGAACATTAAGAATTTACTGCTTGGGGTCTATTCCGGAGAAGAATGCTAGATTATAAATTTAATTTAATTTTGTGTTGAAAAATGTCAAATTAACACAAACACTTGTTGCTTATATTTATTTTATTTTTGGCAGAAGAAGCCTCACGTGCATAGTTGTTTTTTTGTTATTCACCTCAAGCTGCCCTACCTTGTATTATTGTACCATGGTGCAGCTATGAACAAGGTAGGTAAATCAAAACTACTGATTAACTAAAATCACATTAATATACAATAGAAATATCATGATTTAGGACTGTTTCGTCATTTATTTCCTAAAACTGGCACAATCATTTACAATACAAAAATAAATAAATGATTCCAGCGTCATTTATTTTAAACAACGCCAGAAAACACCATACTATGCTATACAATCCTGTTTTTGTGCCAAAAAGTACTAAATGTTACAACTGTTCTCATTAAATGAGCCACTCGTTGCACATAGATTAACCCATGGCACAATAAATAGGTAGTCCATTTCTACTTGAATTCGATGTGCAGAGTTGCCAACCATGTGAAATATTATATGGAAAATTTTGACAGAAGATCGAGACAAAAAACTGTTTTTGTTTTGATACATCACCTTATTATTATTATTATTTGGCAGCACTGCACATCGAATTCAAGTAAAATTTACCAGTTTGACAGTTAATCAAGACGTCAGCTGCTCTAAATGGACTACCTATTCATTGTGCCATGGATGAAACAAACATTTTATGGATTTTGGGAAGAAACCAGAACATTTCATTCATTTTTCGCGTTTTTAGTATTGTGTTGAAAAATTGTCAAATAAACACAAACACTTGTTGCGAATATTTATATTATTTTTGGCAGAAAAAGCCACACGTGCTTAGTTGTTTTTTTTTGTTATTCTCCTCAAGCTGCCCTACCTTGTATTATTGTACCATGGTATAGTTGCAACTTTTTTATACTTATAATAACTTTTCTGACCATTATAATAACTTATCACCATTATGCATTCTACATTATATAGTTGAATTCATATTATTTAAGGAATTTTAATTTTAAAACAACATATGTCATCGGAATTCTCTATTTTCGGAATTCTCTATGTAATTATTTTGTCTATTTCATATAATTTTTTTTCAAGAGAAAACAGATCTCAAAACCAGTGTAAAAAACCATAATTTATTTTCAGGATTTCGTAAATCCACATCATATAAATTGAGTATGTAAATTCGCTATAAACATATTAAAATTGGGTAGCAAAATTTTGAACACTATTATACGCAAAAAATCATTTGCTGTCAATCGTTGTTTTGCCCACTGTTTTTTATGCCGGTAAATAAAACTTGGCATCACTTTCGGCAGATGTTTCTTCAGTGATGAAATTTCTTGTATTGTAAACAATATCTTGTACGAGTGGCTTATTTTTATATAAACGTGTTAAAAAATAATAAAATTCTGACTGAGACTAGAGAAAAAATTCTCTTTTTATTTATAAGTTTTATAATTCCCGTTCAAAAATTAAAAACCTAAATATTTTTTATATGTTTGTCCACTACTAAACAAAATACCATTACCTACCCACTCAGTCAACACTGTTTTTCACTCATATGTTTTTCTTTTGCCTGACTCTTTGATGCGGTTGCATAGTGTTGCAGGAATTTCATTATTTTGTTAAGGAAAAAGTTGTATTTAAGTTTTTTTGTTGCACGAATACGGAGGGTGATGTTACCCTCTACAGGTTTATTCAAAAGTTTCGTTTGTCCCTATTACGATGCTGGGACATCAAGTGGAACAGGGTCAACGGGGCAGACGTCCACATCATGCAATCGTCCTTACTGCCACTTTAAGCATGTGCGGAAAGGTAATATACGAGTGCATATATTGGCAAACTGAATTGTTATTGATAAATATTCTCTTATAGATGATATTGAGAAACCACAAACGGCCACACAGTCTGTTAGTCAGCCGGCACCGGAGTACAAACCAACACCCAAACTTCTCACCTTGGCTGAATTGCCATTGCCCAAGGTTGTTAAGAAGACGAGGACCAATTTGGAATATCAACCAGAAAAGCCTGAAATTAATGCTTCGCCCTCAAAGAATCAACGTTCTTCGCTGGATAGCGCTCCGGTTTATGTTCCCGCACCCACTTCCGCTACCAAGCAAGCTGTAGTACCTGCAAACATTGATGAAGATAGCCAAGAGAGTGGTCCATTAAATTTGGACGATTGCACAGATGAATTAGATGAACTTACGGGTATAATAAACGATGATGTTGAATTTGAAAACGATGCACAATTCTCCGATAGCCCAGAAACGGAAGAATGCAAAGATGTAGACAGTACAGGAGATTCTAAAAATAAAAGTGATATACAGGAAACAAAATCATCAAGTAGTAGCACTGATAAAGCAGAAAAATCAAAGAGAAGAGACTCGTCATCATCATCATCTCATTCCCATAGTCGTCACAAATCTCACAAGTCATCTTCGTCTCGGTCCAAGGATGAGGAAAAACATAAGGAACACAAAGAGCGTACCAAGGAAAAGGAGGAGAAAAAGGATCACAAGTCTTCGTCATCGTCCTCGTCTTCCCGTCACAAATCGTCGTCTTCGTCAACTTCGTCATCATCACACAAGTCATCTTCCCGCGATAAAGACAAAGAGAAGGAAGTAAAACATAAGTCATCATCTTCCGAGAAAAAACATCATTCATCCTCGAGCAGTTCATCCAAACACAAATCTTCATCGTCTTCAAAACCATCATCATCGTCGTCGTCATCGGATAAACGAAGTGCATCTTCTTCGGAATCAAAATCAAAATCCAAGGATAGCAAATCGGCAGATAAGAAACAATTGAATGTCGACGACACATCAGAACTATTCGCCACAACCGAAGAGGATATAATGAAAGAGTGTGAAATGATTTATGACCAATTGGAACAAGAATTTGCCTCGCTACATAACGGCAACGGTTCAAACGATGAAGAAAAAGCCAAAGAAGAATCTAAGCAAGCAGCAAAACGCAAAGCGAATGAAGATGAATTTGAACAGCCGGAATTGCCGCATAAAAAACGTGTAGCCTATGAAAATGCCGATAAATATAAAAGTCATACTCCGGCAGTTGCTCTCAAACCAGATCATCGCAAAAATGCAATGCAGGTGAGTCGGAAATGCGCAGGAGTTATCATTAAATTTTCCGTTTTTGGGAAGAGCCCTTTAAAAAGACACACATTGCTTAAGATAAAATATTCACATTTGATGCTTAAACTAATTAATTCTTATATCAATTTCTTACAGGCAATATTTAATCGACAAGAAGAAACTCGCCGCAAACAGGAAGAGGAGGCAGCAGCTGCCGCAGCCGCTTTGAGAGAGGCCGAACAAAAAGTCCGGGAAGCTAATGAAGCGTTACGCAAAGCACAAGAAAAATCCTTAACGCCGTTAATACCCAAAAGCTATTTAACACCTCCGACAAAACCAATTGCACGAACAATAGCACCTGTGGCAAATATGTTAGCCTTTGAAAGGGCTAAAAAGAAAGTTGAAGAATTGAGAGCAGAAAAGCGACCCGCTTTTACACCATCACAAACGAGTAAAGGTGGATCGCGTGTTGCACATAAACTAACTGAAAAGGCAGCGAATACAGAAGCTGAAAAGGTAGCAAAACCGCCAGTTTTAGAAGCCAACTCAACAAAGATATCCTATAACATTCGAATGCAGTATTATGAAATGATGGTGAAACATTGTCTATCCATATATCCCAATGTGGCGGATGCTTGGGAAAGGGTAAGATAATCTTTGGTATTTCAATCTATAGTTTACGATATATAATTTCAATATATTTTCAGGCCCAAACGGAAGAGTTAGCTGTATTCAAAAAATGCAATACTCCTGTTATTTATAAAAGCAGCGCCATGTTGGCCATTAATAAATTAAGAAAAGAAGCTGCAGGTTTGTTGTTGTAATTTATGATTAAGCAATACTTTATGTTTACATTGCTTTTGTTGTTTTATTGCAGATTCGGGTAATAAACCTTCCCAATCAAATAAAATTATATCACATGAAGTGGTATTAGCTGGCAAATTGGCAACAAATACATCATGGAGTGTTAAGAAAAAGATGTAAGTATATTTTAATATTTGGGAAATTTAGGCGGAATTTTTTAAAAGTGCATTGGAGTGACTTTCCTTGTAACCTTGCTGATCTCTGGATCTCAGTATTAAGTGCATTACGTGCTGCCTGGGAATGCTGGTACTGCAGAAACAGAATCTTCTTCTCGAAACGTTGCCTATGGGTAATGATTTATCCCTAGCGAGTTAGGTATTAAAGTGAAACAACGGGGAAATCTGAGCAACTATATATTAACAGCCCCCAGATTTGACGACTTATATGTTGTTATCCCTAGTAGAGACTGAAACAGTAGTAACTTTCCTCTGGTTCCACGATGGAAGACTCGCGCTGGTATCATCTATAGGTAGCGAGTGTAGTGTATTGTAGCCTTAAATCTGTGCGATTTGGAAGGATCCTGAGATCCTGGAACCACTATCTTGGAGATAGTCAAGAAATTCCTGCCACATCGTGCCGTCTGATGTGTGCAGAAAGCTTTGTAAACACTAACAGCTGGATACTGCGATTTTATGAAAAAAATCAGACGAATTCGCCATACGAGGATCGCAATATACCGATCATGCAATCGCTTATGAATTCCGTAAGATGCACAGCACAACAACAGCATTACACGCCATTTCCACACATATTAGCAGATGACGTAACCAGCACAGGCCGTGCAACCGAACAGTTATGGTGGCACTTGACCTATCGAAGGGTTTCGATACCGTCAGCCAAACGTATTTAAAACGTTGGACAATCAGATAATCAGAAACAGGAAGTCTAACCCCGGTAGAGTGAAACAGGGAGTTCCCCAAGGAGGGGAACTGTTTAACCTCTACCTTTCTGATATTCCACAACCACCGGACATTGATGACATTTGTGAGAGGTTAAACTTCCATCTTCTATCTATGAAAATATCCGCCACAAAATCAACATCAACACTGTTCACCACATGGACGACTGAAATGAAACTCCCACTGAATGTAATGGTCGAGGGAGAACTGATCCCGACCACTAACTACCCCAAGACACTTCGAGTAACGTTCGACCGCCTTTTTCAGGTCGTCTGCGCAAGCCAACAAGGTCCTCAATTCGCTAGCCAACAGCACTTGGGGCGCTGACAAAGAAACCTTGTTGACCTCTTATAAAGCAATTGGTAAGCTATGCGGCACCAGTGTGGTTTTTGAATGTATGTGATACGCAGTGGAAGAATATCCAGACCTGCCACAGAATACTGCCCGGAGAACTGCAACAAGGTGTCTCCTCACTCTAGTGGACCACCTTCATGAGGAGACGAACATCTTACCCATCCATCGACACAATTAAATGTTGTCGATAAAGTATTTGTTTGGGTGCTATCGTCGGAACAAACCTGCCATAATCTTATGGACAGGACTCCCCCGCCCAGGCAAATCAGGAAAGATCTTCATGATCTAGAGAGAAAGAGTCCCAAAGATATAAACGTGAACCTCTAGATCAAGATGCCTATCAAGCAGGTCTGACGCATAAGGACACAGTCGCTCAGACAGTAGAGCAATATCGTTTGAATACCATAATCGGAGACCAGACAAACATGAGTAGTCTAAGCTCAACTGAGATCAAGAGGTTGCAACCGCCTCAATTCCTATAGGGCAAGAATTGACGGCTAGATACCAAACACATGTCCAGCATGTGGATTAGGACCACACGACACGTTGCACCTCTTGAACTGCCCAGCTAGCTTAGCCGACTCACCTATCACCAATTTACCAATATTTTTAAAATTTACCAACATTTTTGTATATTGAGGTAGAAGAAGCAGAACCAGACAATCAGTAACCCATTTAATGTATTTTTTTTTGCTACACCAACAATCTATTTGTCACTTTCGAATTATATTTTTCTTTGGATGATGTCAATGACCTAAATGTCTCAATTTTATGTCGCGCAACTTTATATTTTATTTAAGAAAAGGGAAAGCAATTGACTCAAATCAACATATTTTCCATGTTCATCTTTGAGATATTCTTGGTGTAGATATTGACGATGTTTAATCAATAAATATATCAATTTGCTTTCCCAAATAGTTATTGCCAAACGAATATATGGTCCATATATATTAAAATGGTTCCTAAAATATAGGCCTTCATCAAATTAAATATAAGATCATTAAATATATATTTTCCATTTACAGAAAAACCGATTCAACATTGAGCGGCAGCAATGAACCATTTGATAAATTACCCGGTGATAAAGCATATGATATGGTCTTTGAACTGCGTTTAACAGACGAACAATTGGTTAGCAATGGTTATCCTCGACCTGGCACTAAGCCAGGAACAGCAACAATTCAATGTACAAAGCCAATGCGTCGCCCTAATGACACAGAACGTTATTGCAGTCGTTGTGGCAAGGTTTTCAATTTGTCCATCTATGATCAGGTTTGTGTGGATGAGTGTAATTACCATCCTAAGGGTACTGGTTATAGACGAGGTAAGAAAAATCATCATCTAATGATTTTCATTTTCAATCATTCTTTTTTTATAATTTTTGACGTCACTAGGTTTTAGTGACAATTATCATCGTTGTTGTCAGCAACCTGCTGGCACGCCAGGTTGTAGTTATGCCAATTATCATGTTAGCGATTTCGTTGATGTGGACAATCTTACGGGCTTCATTACAACCATTGCAAAAGATGATCCCGACTATGTACCTACGAAGAAGGATATTTACGCTTTAGATTGTGAAATGTGTTATACCACCCATGGTGTAGAACTGACACGAGTCACTGTGGTTGATGTCAATTGTAGGACAGTTTATGATGCCCTTGTTAAACCCGATAACAAAATTGTCGATTATAATACAGTGTAAGTTGGGGGAGAAAAAAATCTTCTTTTCTATATGAAAAATAAATTAACATTTCTTTGCTTTCAGTTACTCCGGCATAACAGAACAAATGTTGGCTAATGAGACCCGAACGTTACGTGATGTTCAAGCAATATTAATGTCTATGTTTAATTCGCAAACTATTTTGATTGGCCACAGTCTAGAGAGCGATTTAAAGGCATTAAAACTCATACACAATGTTGTGGTCGATACCTCAGTTCTGTTCCCTCACAAATTGGGTCCACCAAAGAAGAGAGCTTTGAAAACGTTATGTATAGAGCATTTAAAGCGAATTATTCAAGAAAGTGGTAAGTGGTTCTACTAATTGAATGGAAATCATACTAATTTTGTTTATATATCCCGAAAACAAATACACTTACTTGTTTCTCTTTTTGTTTGCTTTCCAGAAAGTGGTCACGACAGTGCCGAAGATGCTGAGGTCTGCATACAATTAGTTAAATTTTATTTACGTAATAAAATAAGTTGAGTAACTCTTTTATTTCTATTTCAATCAATGCATTTCTTTGCATTGTATGTTAGGTTAGTTTATATAGGTATACAAATATGTGTATACGACAAATATTCACCGCCGAACAAATACGGAAACAAAGCTAATTTTAATTTAATTTTAAATTTGGAAGTTTTTGCATTAACATATCTTTTTTGTGTGTTTATTTATTAGCATTCTGACATAACACCTTAGCATATATGTAAATTACATTCACTATTTTCTTTTTTAAGATCATTTCTATTGAAATTATGGCGTTTGCATTACATTATACACTTAGAAAACAAAACATTTAATAAATGTTATAGAATAAAATAAATTCTAAATCCACATGGATAAAACGAATGTTTATTTTTTTGTATAAGCACTGAACCTGAGATTATTCTCAGGTTGCAGATGGTGGCAAATCTAATAAACAATTAGCAGTCCTTATGGACATGTCAGGGTGGAACACGGTGGCATCTCCAAAGACGAAATTTATTTATGGCTTCAGTAACTGCATTAGAGTGAATACTATTCAGACCTGCAATTGGCTGTTTTTTATCTTGAGGATCTTTTTTGTCTTTGGACCTCTCCCTCTCTAGATCACTCAGATAAATCATTCTTACTTACATACTTAGCTGGATTGTGACAGAACAATTGTTCCATAAGCCGAGCTCCCCTTTTACGTGATCCATCAGTTGGCTCACTTTTATATGCCTTTTCAACAGAGCAATCCTCATCCATTCTCACAACATGACCTAGCCAAGGTAGTCACTGCAGCTGTTTCTAATTTGCTTACTTAGAACATAGTAGTATCTATTGGCCAACACTGTTCTCCTCCGAATTTGAAAACCGATATCATTAGTTTTATTTATGGCGGTACCAAGGAATATAAAATATTTGACTACCGCGAAGCTGCAGTTCTCACTGGACGTCTTGAACGTTAATACAATCAGCTTGGTCTTGCCATTTCGCAGTCGATGTCATCGGCGTAGGCGAGTAACATGTGTTGTTTGGTGTACAAAGTCCCACTTCTGTTCACCTTTGCCTCTCATATGACCTTTTCCAGCTGGATGTTAAAAGGATCACACGACAAACTGTCACCTTGTTTGAATCCTCGTTCGGTACAAAAGAGCTCCGAGAGATCCTTTTCCACTTTAACTGCTGATCTTGTGCCAGTTAAAGTTATCCTGCATAGCCGTATTCATTTTGCAGGAATGCCGAACGCAGGCATGGCTTTAAACACCTCTGAACGGATAGGGCTGTCGAATGCGGCTTTATAATCGAATAGGTCGATTGTGTCGATGTGTTTCATCGGTCTTTTCAAGGATCTGGCGAAGAGTGAAAATTTGGCCAATGGTGGATTTGTAATGCTTGAAGTCGCATTGGTATGGTCCAATAATGTCATTGACCATTGGCTTCAGTTGGATCCAATACTTGGTAAGTAAGGATCCAATAATTGGGTATCTGATCCCGGTAATCCATCAGCACCTGCTGCTTTATTGTTCTTCTTGGTTTTGCTTACGCTCATGTTTTTCTTCTTTTTTCTGAAAATACGTTTCTCCTCTCTCCTTTTCTCCCTCGCAGGGTTGCCCTATACGCTGCGTTTTTCATCTCAGATCCTAATCGTACCATGGGTTTCTTGATGGTGATCTTTGGTACCCAAGTGTTGCTTTTGCTGGGAGAGGGCAATTCCTTGACATTGTGATTCTATATTATTATCGGGACAAGGAGTGCTTTTGTCAAGCAGGTGGGTAAGTTCAGTGGAGTATGCTTCTGGTATATTTTGTGTTTGCAACTTCTCGACGTCGAGTTTCCGTGTTACATTAGATCGCACCTTTGCTGCTGCATTAAGACGAGTGCGAACCTTGGCTGCTACAAGGTAGTCCTCCGAATCGATATTCGCTCCTCGGATCGATCGTCTAAAACACTGGATGAATGCCTTCCGTTTATCTCAATATGATCGATTTGATTTCTCGTTGTTTGATCGGGAGAAAGCCAGGTGGCCTTGTGTATATCGAGATGCTTGAATCTGGTGCTGCTAACTACCACGTTTTTTTGCTGCCGCGAAGTCAATCAACTTCATGCCGTTGTCTGATATTTCTACGTGGGGCCAAAAATATATTCCCTTCCGATTTTTGCATTAAAATCCCCTAGCAGAATTTTAATGTCATGACCAGAGCAGCGGTCATATGCTGTTTTTTGGCGCTCGTAAAAAAGGTCTTTGGTCATCTCATCTTTGTCTTCCGTCGGAGCATGGACACAAATAAGACTGATGTAGAATAACTTCGCTTTTATACGGATAGTAGCAATTCGCTCATCTACTGGAGTGAATCTGGAGACGAGGTCTTTTATTCTCCTGTTCACCATAAATCCGCAGCCAAATTCATGTCTCGTTTCATGGCAGTTATAATACAGTGCGTAATCGTCTAATTAATTTACGCCTGTCCCTTTCCCTCGCTTTTCCTGTAAGGCAATAATATCAGCTTTGTAATTCTTGAGTACATCCGCCAAAGCGAAAAGTGCAAGTGCAGATTCGCAGATCGTGGTCCTTTATACGTTTGCGTCCGATAAATGACGTAATTTGGCAACACGACATTCACTCGGCTCAGACTACCTTCCTACCACCGTTTTCGTCAACAGACCTCCAGTCTGTATTACCTATGAACGCCGTATTTTCCTAAACCATGTGAAAGCTGATTGTCCAGGTTTCAGAGAGTTTACAAATCACCGCTTGAGAGAGCTGCCCATTCCCTTAGATCCAGGGGTAGTTGAGAGAAATTTCCGTAGATTTATCAGTACTGCTGCCGCTTCATACCTGCTGGTCGAATACCCGAAGTAAGACCAGCAGAGGCGACGGTACTGGCCAATTAACGTGATGAAATTCGTCGTTCGACCTCTGAAGGCCCATGGGTGAGAGAACTTACCCTTGAAGTCAAAAGACTAGTATGCGAGAAAGAAAGTGGCTAGACCACCTGCGCGTGTTTGCGCGATTTTGTCAAACCTGTTCCAAACCGATTTTCGACTTTTACCGACTAATGTAAAATCCACTAAATTTTTAATCCACAAAGGTCAACTTCGACTTTTAGATTTTTCAATACAAAAAGTCCATTAATCGAAAGCCGATTTACTTATTCCTAGGGTAAATCGCACAGACCGATTCCACAACCACCGGACGGCATAGAGATCGTAATGTATGTAGATGAATGATGACATTTGTGAGTCCCCACTTTTTTGCACAACATGGCGTTTTCTACACAGAGTCCCCACTGTCACTGAGACTTGCAGGAGAGATATGCAAGAGTACCATAACCAGGACAAGAGTACAATAACCGATTAGGAATTCCTTCATATCAACAGGAATCTCAAATTTATTCGGAAGTTCTCAAGGAATTATCGGAATAGTACAGCGATTGTCTTCTTGACTGAAAAAATTCCGAAGAATTCAAAGTCAGGGTTATGTCAGTGCAACAGCGGATGTATAACAAACAACCACCTCAACTGACCATCGAGAGGCGGGAGGTGCTCATGACAGCAGCGTCTACGTCTGCTGCGGCTGTAACACTGGTGACCAAATTTATCACCAGCCCACTATAGGTAATTTTCCCTGTTTTTGCGGCAAAAAACAGCGGTGTTAAACGATTTTTTGACCTTTTAAATGAAAAAAGAGAAAACGCAGATTTCAACGGAAAACGGTTATAAGCAACTACACATATAACGAACAAAGCTAATTCTTTCTCAGATATTTTCATTAGGGTATTATTTTTAAAGGAATAATTATTACAATGTTGTATGTTTTGCAGAATGCATTAATAACGATTAATTCAGTACATTCCTTAAAGTTATTAATATTTAAAAGTGAGATAAAACCGTGATTACTACAGTCGAACACGATTATAGTAAACACTGGATATACTGAACAACATTTTTTAATATGTCACTTTTTATACCCTTCACCACACTGTGGTACAGGGTATTATGTCTTTGTGCATATGTTTGTAACAGGCAAAAATAATCGAGATAGATCCATGGTTCCTTTTGAGAATATGCATAGAATCACTTTCTAAGTCGATTTATGCATGTACGTCCGTCCGTCCGTCTGTCTGTCCATGTTAAATTGTAAACAAAGTACAGCTCGCATTTATGATTCAAATTAGATGAAATTAGGCACAGCTCATTTGTTTGGCCCAAGGACAAACACTATTGAAATTGGAAAAAATCGGTTCAGATTTAGATATAGCTCCCATATATATTTTCGTCCGATTTAAGGTAAATGATGCACCAAAGTCCCTATATATCTTTCGATTTGCACGAAATTTGGCACAGCGTAATTAATAAGGTCACGAATGATGTGTGCAAAGTTTCGCGAAAATCGGTTCAGATTTAGATATAGCTCTCATATATATCTTCGTCCGATTTAAGGTAAATAGTGCCCCAAAATCCCTATATATCTTTCGATTTGCACGAAATTTGGCACAACGTAATAAATTAAGTCTAGAATGATATGTGCAAAGTTTCGTGAAAATCGGTTCAGATTTAGATATAGCTTCGCCCGATTTTAGGTAAATAGTCCACTAAAGTCCCTGGAAATCTTTTGATTCGCACGAATTTTGGCATAGTGTACTGAATTAAGTTTAGAATGATGTGCGAAAAGTTTTTAGAAAATCGGTTCAGATTTAGATATAGCTTCCATATATAGCTTCGCCCGATTTTAGGTAAATAGTTCACTAAAGTCCTTGGAAATCTTTTGACTTGCACGAAATTTGGCACAGCGTAATGAATAAGGTCTAGAATGATTTTTGCCAAGTTTTGTGAATATCGGTTCAGATTTAGATATAGCTCCCATATATCTTCGTCCGATTTAAGATTAATTGTGTACCAAAGTCCCTATATATCATTCGATTTGCACGAAATTTGGCACAGAGTACTGAATTAGGTTTAGAATGATGTGGGTCAGATTTATATATAGCTCCCATATATATTTTCGTCCGATCTAAGGTAAATGGGGTTCCAAAGTGCATATATATCTTTCGATTTGC